AAATTCGATCGGGAAGGTCGTCAAATGATTTTTGCAAGTTAACTGGTCCGGAAAATACATATTCCGGACCAGTTAACTTGCAAAAATCATTTGACAACCTTCCCGATCGAATTTTGAGCTGAAATTTGGCATGGACAAACTAGACTTGATGAGGAACATGCTCAAAAAATTTCATCAAAAAATTCCACCGGGAAGGTTCCCAAACGGGCTCGGCCGGACGGGGCAGCCCGTCAGGCCGGCCTGATGAGATGATTTCTCTATAAAAGTTTATGCAAAAAAAAGTTTATGCAATTAATAAACTAATTGATCTAGTAATCACTTATCAGTGATTTTTGAACTCGCTAACTAGATAGCTTTAGAGTATCAAAAAGTAAAACTCTACACTACTTTAATTAAATTAAAGTTAGATACTCCATAGATAAATTGAACTAAGGATGTTTTTGCTTAGCTTTGGAGACCTAAATTTGCTGGTTTGATCTGTTTAAACTGTTTGATCTGAACTGTCTGGTCCGGTCCAGCAAATGTCTTGCTTCAGTGTATTTTATAACTAGAAAAATCAAGTCTGTTCTGGTCCGAACTGATCTGGTCTAATCTGTTTAAGTCTAATCTTGACTGAAAATAGTCCAAATAAAAACATTATAAGAGAACACCGGGTTTATTTTTCGCCCAATATTGATGGAGGTACTAGAAGCAGCCTTCAGAATCTCTCTGGTATTAAGCCTACTACGGATCTAGGTAAATATTTAGGTGCCCCTATCATTCATGGGCGCAAATCTAAAGACAAGTTTGCTTTTATTATTGACGGGGTGAAACAAAGATTGGCTTCTTGGAAAGAAAAGGTTTTAAATATGGCTGACCGAAAGACACTGGTTCAATCCGTGACCACGACTATACCCCAATATGTTATGCAAAGCTCTTTGATTCCTATGAGTATATGTGTTAGCCTCGACAAAATCAATAGAAATTTTCTTTGGGGTTACAAGGGAGATAGAAGTAAAATTCATCTAGTCAATTGGGATGAAGTTTGCAAACCAAAGGAAAAAGGTGGTTTGGGCATTCGGAAAGCTCGGTATAATAACATGGCCTTAATCTCTAAATTGGGTTGGGACATCGTGATGGATACTCCGACACTTTGGGTGAAAGTTTTCAAGGCGAAATATATCAAAAAACTCTTCATTTTTGGAAATTACAAAAAAAATCACGAACCTCTCACATATGGCGGGATATCTTGAATAGCAGGTGATGGACAGTGTACCCGGGGGTAGCTTATCCGAGGGGTTATTATGAGAATAACCTAGAGAGAAGTCAGAGCAAACAAGTAAGAGAGAGAGAGAGTCAGATATATTAATGAAATCTGATCTGGGATCCTTTACAAGAGGAATAAAGGGTGCTATTTATAACAACCATAAATGCGATGAGAGTACACATGTCAACAATCCAACGGCCGAGGGGTCACCTCAATCGGGGTGGCACCAGCAGCCGCATGTGCACCGCATTAAATGCGGTGGGCGGATGTGACGCCGCATTAAATGCGGTGGTTGCTTGTGTTCAAAGGGAACCTTCGATGATTGCACTGTAGCCAAAGGCCCCCTGTGGCCGAAGGCTTTGTGCAGCCAAAGGCTCAGTGTAGCCGAAGGCTATCCTTATGCCGAGGGCACAAAGATGCCGAAGGCCCCTGATTTATGTCGTTTTCTCCAAGTAGCTTTGTGTGCTCAAATCTTGCTGTTCTGTGAGATTTGGAGCCCTCGGCCATGGGGCCGAAGGCACCCGTATGTGCACCGTGGGCCTCTTGACTCTTAGGCCGCTGTGCTTTGGGCCTCTTGTGCTTCCTGGGCCTGTTGGGCCTGTGTTAGAGTAGTAGGAGTCTGTGGGCCGGGGGTCCCTGGGCCATATACTCCATCAGCATGGATATCATTCGGAATGGGCTGGGATGGCAAGTGGGAAATGGTGAGAACATATCATTCTGTTGATATTTGGGTGAGGGATAGGCCTCTTTATGAAGAAGTTGGATCCCCGTTAGTAGCAAATGCAGGGCAAGTCAGAGTGGCGGATTTAATAATGAATAACAAGGAATGGAATATTGCCAAACTTGATACTTTACTCCCAGAAGAAGTGGTCGAGGATGTGAGAGTGATACCTATTCCTATGGCAAAGGATTATCCTGATGGCATTTACTGGAGGCTATCTGCAACAGGTGAGTTTTCTATAAAATGATCCTATAATTCTATGTTTTTGTCATAGGATACAGACGATTGGAGCTGGGTATGGAAGGTTCGGGTGGCTGAAAAGATCTGATGTTTTCTTTGGCTTGTGATAAAAAACAAAGTGCTCACAAATGTGGAAATATGGAGAAGGAATCTGACTGATGATAAAATATGCCCAATATGCCCAACATGTTAAAAAAAAAGGAAGAAACAATGTTTCATCTGCTCCGGGACTGCCCCTTTGCAATAGAAGTTTGGCAGAGGAGTTTACAAGGTGGCCATAGAACAGGAGATACCAGCTCAAGTAGTCTAGAGTGGGTTCGAAGCCACTGTAACGCTATTAGTGATGTTCCTGGGAGAACCGCACATGCCTTAAAGTTTGCATATACTGCGGGGATGATTTGGAAAGCAAGAAATGAGTGGATTTTTTAGGGTGTGCAACTAAATGTGGACAAGCTTATATGGAAAGCCTAATTTTTAGCAGCTGAATATATAGGTACGACATCCTTTGATTGTATCAAGCAACGTAAAGAGGCTAAAATCGTTAAATGGATTCCTCCAGAACCAGGATATTTTAAACTTAACTGTGATGGCTCTAGTCGAGGGAGGAAAGGGGAAAGAGGTCGGGGCTGGTGGGCTAATACGTAATCATAAAGAAGAATGGGTTAGCGGTTTTTGTATTAATATTGGGAAACCTGATAGTTTTAAAGCTGAACTTCGGGGCTTAAGGCAAGGTTTGTTACTAGCGAGGGAGCTAGATCTAAATATTGTTATTGTTGAGTTTGATTCTGAGAGCATGCTCAAAGCTGTTAATAAGAGCGATGGTTGGAACAGAAATAGTATAGGGGTGCTTGTTCGGGACTGCCATGAGCTTCTTGGAGATGAAAGGTTAGTCACGGTTCAACACACTTTTCGAGAAGGTAATAGAAGTGCGAATGTTTTAGCGAATGCGTGTCATGCAGCGCCTTCGGGCCTTACAATTTTTCAAGAGGTTCCTGCATGGATAAAAGTTCCTCTTCTTGAGGATGCTAATGGTCTAGAGAACATTAGATTTTAATTTCTTCTTTTTAGTTTGTCTTTTTTTCCTATGTATTAAAAAAATAAGAGAACACCGGGAATTACTCTAATAAAATGAAACAACAAAGCCACCCTTAATAGCCTCATGTATGCGAGCACTTGTGTGTGTGAGTGTCTATTGAAGAGTGGATCAACTAGAGATTTTCACATGCGAAGCATATCTCATAAGTAATAGCGTGATACCAAAAAAATTGACTTCTAAGTTCTAAGGTAAAATATAACGTCTATTATTTTTATCAGTAGCTTTTAGAGTAAAAACTCATATGAAGATATACTACTGGTATTATTATAACTTATAGGAGTAAAATGGACAGTATCTTGGTAATGTTGCATTTTAGTACCTTAAGTCTTTAATGAAGCAAATCAGTACCTCAACTATCTTTAAATGTTGCATCCGGCGGTACTACTCAATTTTCAGACCAAAAAATGCCACATGGCAGCCGGAAATCCACGTAATGCATCCTAGTCATTATTTTTATCCACATCATCATTTTACTGTGCCCTAATATTTACCGTTAAAAGATCTCTATTGCCTGCGCTTCTCAAATTCAATCTCTATCTTTGCAGATAAAAAAAACCCTCTCTACGACTCCATAGCAGTGCTCTAAGATGCAGGTGCAAGTCTGATCTCAACCCTTTTGATTCAGCACATACGATGAAAAGAAGATCACCTTCTTCCTTGCATCCACGCTTCTGATTCCCTGCATCTACACTTTTTCTATTGTATTCCGAAGGAGGGCAAAATGTCAAAAGATTGGCAGAAACGAAATAGTTAGATGGCAATGGAATGGGCAGTACATTACATTCTCTCCTAGCAACGCAGGTTCAATTCCCCACAGAGGCTCATCTGGAAGTTTTGTTTTTCTCTAGTTTTGTAGAAATGACGTGGCTAATGATGATGTAGATAAAAATAATGCGTACGATCCATTACGTGGATTTCCGACTGCCATGTGGTATTTTTTGGCCGGAAAATTGAGTGCTACCGCCGGATGCAACATTTAAAGATAGTTGAGGTATTAATTTGTTTCATTAAAGATTTAAAGTACTCCGTACTAAATTGCAACATTACCGATAGTTAGGTGATGTGTATGCATTTTTGTTACTCTAATTTATATTTCACATGTGGTAAATGATTATTACAAGTTTTTTTTTCACATGTTCTTTTTCCTGTACACACTCATGAGTGTATTAGATTCTACGTAGTACATTTATATTGCTTGGCATGTTTTTGTCAGAATAGAGTTACTATTACCGTACCTATTTCGGTTAAAAGTTAAAACTACCAATTTTGTGTTTGCTCAGATTAGACAATATGTCAATACCATTTGAAAAACGTGGAACACACATGTAAATAGGAAAACCAGTGAAGTGGAAGACCCCATTTTCTGTGTGACCGGATGAACCCTGTTCTCTGTTTTTGCTGATTTATACGAAGTACTCCGTAAAACTTAACAGTCAACTACTCAACTGTAAGAAGAGCACTTGTTCATCTTTTAATAAAGGTTTGTATAACTAGCTGTCTAGCTAGTTAGTATGTTGGGTTTAAGCCGTTTAACCTCATAAAATGCAGTATCCATTTTTAGGTGGTTAATACACACATATATTCATAACATTGTTTTCTTTCACCTTTAAATACATATATAAAAGTAATACTGAGTTTGTTATAACTATTAAATACTCCAAATATTATTTACAGCAAAATAAATTAAAGCTATTCAACCAGTCCACAGTGTTAATGACATATTGAGAGGCCGCATTTGGATGAGGTGAAGCTATTGATTTAGTTAGTCCACAAGTTCACAATTGTATATTTGTATCCAAACAGACAAATACCCAAATGATGTTTCTCAACATGTTAAGACTAAAGATTTACCTAACACTACACAACCCAAATCTAAATGGCGCCCAAAAGATCAATATGTGCATGTGATTTGTCATTCTCATTGGTGTAACATACAATTAACCATGTTCCTCCCTTCTCCCAACGTCTATTGTTTTCTTTGCTATAATACAAAAGAGAACAGTTGTAGCACTGGATCTCAAAAACAATCTAGGCCTTGCGAGTTGCGACATACGTCGCCAACAATCACTTTTTATACATCAAATCACCCCCTACCCTCATCAATGTATGTACCATAGCCGCCTTTATCTTCCATCCTCCTCATCTACGTCACAAGTATTAGCAGCATCCGTCTCCGGCCCATCTCGATTGGGCTTATCAGAAGACGGACCTCTTCGGGTGGGTTTAACGGGTTGTACAGATTGCGGGTTGTATTCTTGGGCAGAGAGGTAATTTAGGGCGGTGACGATGTCAGCAACGAGGGGGCGCATGTTTGGTTGTTCTTGCACACACATTGCAGCAATTGCCAGAGCCTGGTATAACCCTCTGGTCGGAAACTGACCTTTGAGCGCAGGGTCCGCCATCTCAGGGAACTTCTTCCTATCTTTGAACAGCGGTCGTGCCTGCAATACAAATTCAACGTGGGATTTTTTTATGGATTACACTAACTTGTTCCTTTCAGGAGGGGAAAAAGTAAAGAGGGTTTTTACCTACTAAATTAAAGCTTACTCATAAAAAAAATCTTCTATACAAAAGTGAGTTTATATTAGTGTAGGGATAAAGAACTACATAGAGCATATATACCATCAACTTTCTGTAGGAACAATTACATACAGAAATGGTAATATTGGAACATAAATACACTTTTTGAACTATTTAATAGAGAATATATATACCCTTATACTATTGGTCATAAAAAGGCCTATATTCTCTAATTTATGCTCTGTAGTTAGTAAGGGTAACTTCCAAATTTAAAATTGTGTTTAATTGTTCTAAAAAAATGTTGAGAACAAATTTGTTCGCTAATGTCTTCCTATTAAGGTATCATAGTGAACACATAGATGTCAACAAACAGGGGGTGGGGGAGACATCAGGAACTTTGGATACTAGATGTGCGGGTGCGGCGCCGTCTATGAATCAGTTGTACTAAGATCAAGTTGTGTGGTGCACAAGCCACCAGGCACCAGAACATGTGGACTGCTCAGACCATACATGATATATTGATATTTTTAAATGAAAAAGAATAGATGAGGAATTAAATGGAGAACAATTTTCTCCATTTTTTTCTTCAGTCTTTTCTTATTCGTGTAAAAAAATTATCACCTTTTTCCTTTAAAGAAAATTATTCTACAGTTGATACTCTCAAACTTCTAAACAAATTTAAACACGAGTTTCGAAATACTTTGTCAAGTCAAGTGAGGAGTTTAATCAGGACACAGGTAGTATTTGGGAATAATAGAGCATTTTTTACGCTGCAGTTTGGTTGATCAGTTGATGGGAATGGAACCAATGATCACCGGAAAAACAAGGAATGGAATCAACTGGGATGCCCTTTGGTGGGGGACAACAGCGTGTTTGGTGTAGCCTTCCACCCCCTACTTTGATCGAAAAGTAAAACATGGAGAAGGGGAGTCAAACTCCAAGTCCGTATTTTCCATGGAAAATAAATCATTCTATAGTAGTAAGTTAGTAACCAAACATTCTCTTTCTTCCTTGTTTGCACGGGGGAAAACAATAACAAACTTTGACTTTTTGTTTCAAAGACAAAGTGAAAACATAGCATAAATCTGTCTTTGGCAAAAAGTACATATTTTAATGTTGTCACTTTAGCAAGCACTTACCTAAGTGGTTTACAACACTACCAATTAAAAGCAGCAAAAATTGAAAAACAAGAATGTATAAAAAATGTTTAAGTAAAGAAGGATTATTACCCAAGCAACAAGATTTTGTTCAGCAGTAGGTCTGGTGTTGTCAATAGCTCTCCTACCAGTGAGGAGCTCAAGAAGAACAACTCCAAAGCTGTAAATATCTGATTTGAAAGTCAATTGACCGGTCATGGCATAATCCGGTGCACAATAACCATACGTGCCCATCACCCTGGTAGAGACATGTGTCTTGTCCCCAAGCGGGCCGACTTTCGCCAACCCAAAATCAGACAATTTGGGAAGGTAATCCTCCCCAAGCAATATATTCGAGCATTTCAAATCACGGTATATCACTGGAGGTTTCATCTTGTCATGTAGATATTCCAGGCCTCTTGCTGCACCTGCCGCTATCTTCATTCTCGTATTCCAATCAAGAAACTTTCGACTCGATCGGCGGTCTTATTTTTTATGTAGAAATAATATTAAATCGAAATATAACCACAAAAAGGTAACAATTAGACAAGATAATGTTAAAATACCATATAAATGGTCTTCCAATGAACCGAGAGGCATAAACTCATAGACCAAGAGTCTTTGATCACCCTCAGCACAATAACCAATTAGCTTAACAAGGTTAGGGTGGTCAGCCATACTCAAGGTCAATACTTCAACAACGAATTCTCTAATCCCTTGACATCCATTGCGATCAAGCTGTTTAATCGCCACAACCTGCAGTTTTTATTAAGCAAATAATAGTAATCCACGAAACATGCCTACCTAAATCAGGGAAATCTAAAAACATAGCATGGCAGAAGAAAAATGAAAGTTATTAGTCAAAGCAAATGTACAACTGAGTGATAGATCACAAGTTCTATCAAAGGTCAGTTTGGATGGGGAATTTATAAAGGCTCAATGCCTAAATACATGTCTTGATAAACGTAAAAAGCTTTATAAAAAATTGAAGAAATAACATAATCCATGATGATACAATATTCCAATATTGTTTTATTCTTTTCTAGAAACATTCTACTTCTCAATGCATGAACTAAGCCCTCCAAACCCCCTTCATACAAACATGCCCTAATTGAATCTTTGGATGGATAGTTTTGGAGGACAAACTAGGTAAGTCTGTGTGTGTGTATAATATTTGATTTTATAAAAAATGAAGAAATAACTTAATAGGTGACCATATAACATTTCAGGTTTAGATCACCCTTATAAAGGATATAAAATACTCCGTAATAAACTATTAAGTATAAACTAAGCCCTCCAATGAATCCTCTCCAAAACTCTCCATCCAAACTGACCCTAATGGACTATGTAGATGAAGGTTTTGGAGGGGCAGGTCTATATCATGAAATATATTCAAGAACTTTAAAAATTAAAAAGAAGAACCCTTCATATACGACTCCATATCTCCTTCATACATTTTTAGAAACATTATATTTATCAAGACATAGACTGAGCCTTCCAAAGCATTCAAAGACATCTGATACACTCTAATAAAATAGACCCTAAAATCTTGTTAGGGTGGGTGAATTTGGAGGGGAACAAAGGGTTTATTTTTGTGTTGGTGTTTTACCTTTATTTAATAGTCTTCAGCTGTAAAATAACTATTTGTTTAGTTATGTATTTCTTATAACTTTTAATCTTCACTTTCTTTCAGACCATTTATTTAAATAAAACTGAACTAACAAAATAAATATCATCCTCTTCTCCAAAAACCCTAAACCAAACAAACCCTAAGTGAATGTACAAATGCTACCTGGCCAGTATCTACCAATCGACCTTTATAAACTTTGCCAAAGCCACCTTCACCCAAAAAGTATTCTTGGTTGAAGTTTTCTGTGGCAGCCACCAAATCAGCAAAGGTAAATGTCTTAGCCTTGACTGTTTCAGATTCCCCTCCTTCAGAAACTCTTTGACCAGATTCCTCTTCCTTTCCTGAAGTGGACTGCCTTGCTTCATTACACTCCTCCTTTGCACCTTGGTAAGGGCTAACCCTTGTTGGTGTCTCTAAACCATAAGGTAAAAGAGGTCACCATTTAAGACATTGAAAGAGAACATAGCATTTGAATAACAAATAGTAACAAGACATAAAAGGGGACACCAATAGAGCTAAACCAAAAAGAATTGTGATTCTCATCAAAGTAGTTAAACATTCGAGAAGAAGAATAAATTTACAGAACAACTATGAATAAGTCATGGTATATACTTCCTACTGACTCTTCCAAAGAATGGAAGTTCAAAAACAAAACTTACCCAAAATTCAATGGGACAACGAACCTACAAACTGCAGATTATAAAAAAATCAAACCTTTAATCAACACATATTCATAATCATAGTTTGAATGTATGTACTTAAGTTAAGCATTGAATAATGACAACAAATGAAACCTAAGGTTCCCACTAACTTTGAAGAATCATGAGTGCGAACTCATAGGAGATAAGGAGCTATGGTACACATCTACTTACACACATAACCAAATAAAGTTTAACATAAAAGTATAAAACCCTTCAAAATCCCAATGGCTTCCACCTCAACAAATTGAACACAGAAACTAAGAATTAAGAAGGTGGTTGGGCTGAAACATAAAAAAGACAAAAAAAATAAAAATAACTCCTCAGAACAAAATCTTTATTTGGATTTCAAGAAACCCACATTCGAAAATCAAAATGCAAAATAGACTAGATGGAACATAACTTCCAGGCGAAACAAGAATTAGAGCCTTCTTCAAAGAAAGTGATGATCAAAGCATGGAAAATAAATCTATCGATTGGAGAGAAAGAAGGGGAAGGAAGCCAAATGGAACCGAATATATTCCATGAACTCTGAAGAATGATAACTGTCAATTCATCATTGGAAACCATTCAAAAATCCCAAGAGCTTCACCAGCACAAATTGAAAATTCATAATATCTTCCCAAACAAATCACTGTCTCTTATTTAAAGACCCCGAAAACAGTAATTCAAAATGCCAAAACAAAAGGAACAAAAAAATCCCAACCGAAATCATTCGAATTAAGAGTATTATCGGAAGATCAAATCGTACCAGAGGCAGCCGGCGCTACGCAATCGTCCCTCTTGAGTTCGGTTCTTCTGGTGGAGGCGCTCCGCTTTTTATCTTCTCTCTTGGTGGATGAATCTCCGCCGCAACAAGGGAAACAGCCCATGCCTCCTTTTGATTCTCTCTGGGTCTATTTATTTCCTTATGAATCCAGTATGAGCGTATTCATTCATACATATACGGGTGACTCTTTCTCTCTTTTTATTTCATTTCCCCTGTTTCTGATCGAAATGGGAAAATAAAAAAACAGAGCGCGCAAAAACAGAGAGAATGAGGAGAAGAAGTTTTGCAAACCTTTGCCCCAGTTTTTGGCTTTGGAGAGAAGAAGATGGGGACAGAGACAAACGGAACTTGCTCAAATCAGCTTTATATTTTTTGTTCCCAATTGATTTTCTTTATTTTTTATTTTATTTATTTTTAGAGCTTTTTTTATTATAGGGTAAGTTGTGGCGCAGATTGTTACGCTACACTCGCATCATCACCGGCGGGGCTTGAATTTCACTATTTCCCCCTTCATCAGCAGAAAGAGCCGAAAGAGTACACTTTCCATCTTTTTCGAAAAAATCAGTTTTTTTTAGCGAAAAGATACACGTGAGTATTCAATTGTAAGAACTTGTTTTTTTCTTTAAAAGAGTTTCGTACGATAAATAATTTTTTTTAGATTATTTAATGGATTTTTTCCTTTAATGACTCGTACCAATCAAATATCAATGAACAAAATTATTACTTAATACTACATCCATTTCAAAAAACTTTTTCATGTTCAAAACTTTGACGAACTATATCTGTTTATTTAAAATCATTTATTGTATATAAAATTATATAATTAAAAATGTTCTTTGTTAAAACTACTTTCATAAATGTATAAAATACTTTTGAAATGACAAAAAAATTTTAGGACGTAGGTAATAATTATTAGTGATTATAATTGTTTTCAAAGTTTATATCATAGTAACTCATATGTATTTACTAGTTACTACGATGTATAAGTGAATCAAAATACAATTATAGTTATTAATAGTTACTAAGTAATTTTTTTTTTAAGTTTTAAGCAAACTAAAAATCCTTCATAAATTCCACAGTGCATTTAACTTTACTTTTTATAATGAGTTTATATCAACGATGCCTTATATATAGATGCATCAACATAATGTTACAAAATGATAGAATACTTAATTGATTACAATCAAACAAAAAAAACTTAATTGAGTACAACGTGCTTCAAATTATTATATTAAAATGATAATGGCATATGTACTAATTTGATTCAAAGTAAATTTCCAAGATTCCATACATAAAAAAAGTAAATTTCCAAGACAAAATTTTATAAAATGGAGGAATAAGTTTAACACCCCAAAACCGGCATAATTATTCATAATTTCTCGATATCTTATTGTTCTTTTTTGGATTATAAATCCACATTATATTCTTGTGAACTAAAATAACAAATCATAACTTTAAGTTAATAAAAATAACATCACCTTTCCTTTTGTTTTACTGTTGAATTTATTTTTAATACTTAAGTCAAATAAAGAATACCAATAACTTAACATATGCGGAGTATGTGGCTTTATATTGAAACTCATATTCCACATGATCCATACATTGCACTCATGCAAGGAATAAATAAAACAAAAAAAAAGCACGGAATAAATAAAACAAACTTTCTAACCCTTTTAGACTATTTCAATTCATACAGCCAAAAGCACGGAAAGGAGTTAATTAATGAATTAGGCATTGAATAAGGGGTGTTTGGATCTGATTTTTAAAACTGTTTCAGCTCCTTCAGAGAACAGAAGCAGAAATTGGAGTGTTTAAAGTGCAGAATTGATTCTGGAGCTCTAATTTACTCCTAGAATCAGTTTTTTGAGAAGCTGGGGGAGACCAGCTTCTGAAAACTGATTCTGATTCTGCTTCTGCTTAAAAAAAGAATCAGAAGCAGGATCAGTTCCAAACACCCCCTAAAAGCGAGAAAACATGCACGGAAAGTCCTCATTGGATATTTTGAAAATATTTTAAATTAAATTGTTTGATATAAGATCTATTAATAACATTAAATTATTTACCCGAGGATAAAATTGTTCAATTCACATTTATATCTATGATTAATTTGTTTTTTATTATACTCCAGGGGGCGTCTAGGGGCCCTGGAGTAATCTGAGCTGAAACTCACTCCATTGAGTTTCGAACCTGTGACCTCTCATAAGGGAGAGTGAGTCGGCGACCAGCTGAGCTGGACCGCTTCCTCCTATGGTTAAATTTTTATATAGTGACTATTGGGGTTAATATTTTTTACAATTATTACGTAGTACGGAGTATTATTTATTTAGTTTTTAACTAGATGTGGTAAATTTTGTCAAAAAAAAAATAGATGTGGTAAATGACGTGAATTACTTACCATATTTTATTTAGAAAAAAAGCGCATTCATAAGTTGGAGGGATTATACAAAAAAAAAAAGATGTTTAGTTGATTGGTTCATAATTCTACTCATGAACTAATTTTCATGTGACAATATATTTGATGATTAAATATACATATTTGTAAAATGAATTTGATTAGGAAATGGGATTAATAAGTATACGTCACACTTCTTCTATGATTTTTTTCTTGGACTGTAATTTGTTGGTCTGATCTAGTCTCTTTGTATTTTTATAATTATACAAGTCTGGTCTGGTCTGGTCTGGTCTAACATCCTTATCGGTGTGTTGGCAAACATGATACTTCTTGTTGGGTTAAGGGCCCAAGCCGAGGTCCGGCCCACTAACCCATTTTGCTAGACGAGCGTCCAGCTAGAAACTAGGCCAGCCCACAAGCCCATGTTCTTTAAGGATGGACGAGCGTCTGATGTTGGAGGACTCAGGCCCAGCAGCTCATTCCGACGAACGTCTATGCAGGGACAAGGAGCAGAGCCACGGGCCACCAGGGATGGCGACGAACGTCCCCAGAGCAAGCCTGTAGTCATCGGAGAAAACCCAATGCACATGGTGAGTATCTATCAAGGCCAGGAGACGAACGGCCAATATCCCTCAAGGGTCACTTGGAGCAATCCAACTCACTTCCCGGGTGGACGAACGTCCCCACTGATCCGGCGGGAAACCTAGATTCTGGCGGGAAGTGCATTTAATGCTAAAGATTTGGTAGTTGGGACACCAGCGGTCCACAGGCTGCCACGTCAGTGCAGCTACCTGCCCATTGGCGGGTATAAATAGAAGCATTTATTTCATTGTAAAGGGTTGGCAACTTACTATTCTTAGCATACTAGCTCCAGCATTCTTACTTGCAGCCTTTCTAAGTGCCTTGTAAGACGAACGGCCGACGTGCCCTTTTAGCAAGTAGATTGTATTTAGGGGAGTTATTACGAAGTTAATAATACCTATTTACATTGCCTGCTATTACTTTTGTCTCCTGATCCATCTGATAGTTGTTGGGCTAGACATTCATACACTCACTCCACTCGAAACCTTTGGGCTTACGTGTTGGGTCCACGGGTTGAAGGAATAAACCTCAACACTGGCACCGTCTGTGGGAAACTGAGCAAAAAGTTTCCAGAAACTCTCCCAAACAGCTACTAAGTCTACCTACAGCAAACACGATGTCAGGAGGCAACAACCAGCGTGATCTCTCCGAGCGTCTGGAATCAAGCCGCCGGAATCGCGGCCAGAACTCGGAACTATCCGCAACAATATGGACCTCCGGGGGAAACGGGGGTATCACTGACCTCATTCCTCTGGAGGCCAGGCAGGATCCTCGCCTCATGCGGGAACTCGCAGACACCATGCGTCGCTTGGCAGACGAGAGGGAAGCCCAAAACCAGGTGTACTCTGCAAGTACCCAGCGAACGCCCCTCTCTCCCATACGCCGCATGCAGTCGTATGACGATACGACAGGATCTAGCGACCACCGGCCCTCTGTCCACGAGCGGCTGGGGGGGGTTCAGGCTCCCGTGGAACGGGAGGGCGAACCAGAGTCAGCATCGCTGCATCCAGGGCTCACACACCATCAGTCCCCCGCCAAATCCCGCGGGGAGACGAGACCCCGAGGATCAACACCGTTGGACGACGTTTCCAACGGCGAGGTGCGCAGATCTTTAGGCGGCCGCACGATGCTGTGGCCGCTCAGCAGAATGCCGTCCCCGAAGCCGCGCCCCCTGTGTCCCCCGGAAGGGCCGCACAGGATGCAAGGTTGGAGGCCATGGAAAGGCAGATAGCCGAGATGAATAGGCGGGCGGACGTTGGCTCGGCCACACCCTCTTTCTCTCTCACATCTCCCTTTACTCCACGGGTGATGAGCGTCGAGATTCCCCGAGACTGCAGGCCCCCGGGCAACTTGGTGTACAATGGGGCTGGCGATCCCAAGGCCCATCTGATAAGCTACCAAGGGAACCTGTCCATGCTGGGAGCATCAGACGAGGCCATCTGCAGATTGTTCTTCAGCACCCTCAGGGGGCCGGCGCAAGAGTGGTTCGGCCAGTTGAGGCCAGGCACCATCGACTCATACGAACAGCTCTCCCAGCAGTTCATGGCGCAGTTTGCCGCCAGCACCACCCCCAGGAAGGACGTCACGGCTCTCGCCCACATCAGACAAGGGCGGGACGAACCGCTGGCTAGGTTCCTGGTAAGGTGGAGGGACGAGGTCCTGCAGGTCGACGATCTGGACGAACGTCTGGCCACCAACATGTTCACCAGTGCACTGGCCACAGGGGATCTATACCGGGACCTGAGGAGGAATCCCGGCACCAGCTACACCGAGGTTCTTGCTCGGGCCCAGAAGTATGCCTCCATTGAGGAGGAGATCAGGCAGCGGGACGGAGTTCCCGCAGCCCACCCACGGAAGATGGCGGACAGGCTCGGGCCTGGGCCGGGACCCGGGCCCTCCCCCCCAAACAAAAAGAAGAGGACAGACGGGGCGATGGTCCCCTGGAAGGCTCCGTCCGGGGATACTCAAGCACGACCGGACGACCGCTATGTCCCATTGGCCTATCCAGTGAGCCAAATCCTTGAGGCCATCAAGGACAAGGGCCTCCTAACGGAACCCCAGGATATGAATAGGCATATGGGGCACGACCAATCGGCCTACTGTGAATACCATCAGAGGACCGGCCACCTGAC